CCCTCCCCCCCTCACCCCTGCTGGTCTGGCTAACTCAGGGAGATATTAACGCTCTTTTAATGAACTTTTAATGAGGAGAGACATTTACACCACCAGTTGATCCACTCAACTGTTGATAGCTCTTTATCCAAAAGAAACACGCTTTGTGTTGGGATAAGGTCAGCTTCTGTGCATTATTCCCTGAGCCTCATGGGCACATCCCCTTACCCGTCTCCACCAGCCATCTCCCACTGCAGCAGTTGGTACTCCCCAGGGAGTTAGTCTGTCACAAGCTCTGTGACATGTAACAGTGACTGCAGACTGGAAGCACCTTGGTTTGATGTACTACCTGTCTTCTGTTTGCATTTTAGTTTGGAAATTTCTCTCATTAAGAAAAATGAGGGACCCCAGTGGCCAGAGCTGGTAGTTGGTGACACAAGAGGGGAATTCACTATGGACTCTTCCCAGTGCTCTGAAAGCCTGATGCATCTTACCTCTGAAGTACTGGTAAGGAATTGAAACTAAAACATTTAAACTTCTTGAACATTTGCATGTTGTCTTCTCTTGATATCCTACTTTGTGCTACACTGACATAGCTCATCCGTTCATTTACTGTTCAGAACCCTAACCCTACGTTAATTATGAACTGAAACTCGTAACAAAAATGGTGGCACTGGAACAGTAATGTCATCTTCATGGGAGACTGAATTTAGCTTACATGATCGTGTCTGTGCACCAAAAGAGAAGCCTGATTTAACACTGAATGTAAATTTTATTCCCACCACTTCCAATGTGGCAGTTTGTTTTCTAGCCGTTAAGTAATTTTGAAGGATGTCTGTTTCTTGTTTGTCAGTAGGTTAGCAACACTTTTGTACTGTCTTCCTAGGGATACTGTACTTGACTTATAGACTGTGAGTGTAACATTTTTAAAAGGAAAATTCAGCAAAGCATAAGCATGACTCATGAACTTTCTGGCATTATTGTTATACAAGGAGTTTACTTAAAACAAAATTAAATGTAATTTTTAACTGCTGATTGCTTGATACTTCCCCTTTTGGTTTAATTAGAAAATGGCATCTCATCTAAAACTTGTGAAGTGTGAGTCCCTGTGGGTCTTGATATATTAGTTGTGGATTATATCTTTTTTTAATAAGGCTGAGAAGTGTTATTAAAATAAATCCTGTTTAGTGCTCTAAATTGATTTCTCTCCTCTCTCCCTCAGTATTCATGGCCAAGATATTGTAGTACATTTTTTGACCATAGATTTATTGGGAACTTGAAATTTCTTTTATTTTGTAACGCATACTGAGCTTAAGGTGATGATTTTGTTTTTGTCCCAACTTTTCAGCTTGTGTGCAATAATGATCCATGTGAAAATAAATCTTTCCTTAGGTAACTTCATTTAAGTAAATGTTATGTATTTTTGTTATACTGCAACTTTAGCTACATGTGTATAATAAAGGCATGGATTCTTTTTGGTCATCTTGGTTGGTTGTGGCAATGATGTTTACCTGTAAGGTTTTTTTAAAAGCCACCCAATGAAACAGTAAGCCAGAGGCCATCAAGAACGCTTAATAGAGGAGAGGTGAACACAAAGTCTAGTCTCTGAAGAGACAGGTACCCTGTTTGAAGTCTTGTGCATTAGCCTGCAGTATGAGACACTTATTTTCCTGGTTTCTATCATTTAAGGACATTTCTTTGTTTTCTCTTCATGTTTGTTTTCTTTGAACTTAAATTGTCTTAGCAATTAAAATAAAATGGTGCTGATCTCCTTCTCTTTGTGGACTGAACCAAAATAGAAGTTCATAGTAGTCAGCTGAAATGAATGAAGAAATGAGCACAGGAACTCAAGAACAACTCCTCCTGCTCAACTGAATCAGTGTCCTGTCTAATCTTTCCTTGCACACTCTGGCCTCAGCTTTCAGCTTGCATCAGTTGTAAAGATGGAGTCTTTTTGTGCAAGAAGCAACATTAATTCCTACTCAACAAGGAAGTGTATATATTTGTCTTGTGTTAAATAAAGGTCCCTTTCTGTTGTCATGAAGTTAGTTCTTTAAATATATCAAAAAGGTAACATAGTTTGGTTGTTTTGAAAATTATCTCAGGAAGATGCCATTAGCAGAAGTAAACTCTTTCTGTATGCAGTAGTGTTATATTTTGCTCTTGAATTAGTAGTAAAAGTGATGGTTTTTCCTTTATTTGACTTGCAGGATGTGAAAAAACACATGCTTTTGTCTTGTTTTGAGTGCATTGAAAAATATGCATAACAACATTATTAATTTTAAATAATTATTAGCAAAGCTGAGAGGAGGCATGTATTTAGAGCTGCTTACAGAACTAATTAATCCATTTTTAATAGTCTGAAAGAAGCTTACTCTGATGTAAATTTACGAAACTTGCGTAGGTTTTGAGGATTGTATACTTTTGCTCTTTACAGAAGGGAATTTATTGTCCATGTTTTAGTGGCTTGTGTACCTTTCCTTAAACTGAAATGGATTTTGTTGTGCCTACTACTTATGCTATCCTCCACAACAGAAACGGTTCTGTTCATTTTGGATAAGTATATAATAGCTTGATCTTTAAGTATGTAAGACTATTCACATGATTCTTCCTGTCCTATTGAACTTTTTTTTTTTAATGAAAAGCCATTTTTCTATATACATATTCAGTAGCTCAGATTTTCAGTGTAGTTCATTGTCTTTTTATTTCAGAATCCAAACCCAGAAAGAGAAAACCCACCTTGTAATGCTCAAGAATTAGAAGAATGTGATGCTTTTCTTGAAGATGGTGCCAGCTTGTGCAGATTTGATGGTGATACCTTGAAAGTCACTCATGTAGTAAGTGCTGCAAATTATTACAGTAATATTTTAAAACATTTTTATGATATGAAAGTTGAATTCTATTATGAGAACAAAAATCTGTACAAACTCTTGAAACCACATAAATTTCATAATGTAAAATCACAGTAGCAACAGAAATTATCAAGCAATATGTGTTCTTCAGTGTCATGTCAATGTAAAAATAAGGCTCCTTTTATTCTGATTTTAAAAATATAGATTTAAAAAATATATATACTTTCACAAGTGAGCCATTTGAAAAAGCAAATGTAATAAAAGAGTGCTGTAACAACTGTTTGAGAAAGATCCATCACAGATGTTAGTATGTGAAATGGTCACTGAGGAGTGCCATGTATTACGGTGTCATCCTGCATGTTGCCATTGCAGACATAGCTTCTGGATATAAAAAATAGTTCAAATGTATTTGTTCATTTGCTAACATGAACACAGTAGATCAGCTGAGTACAGACAGGAATTCTGACTGTTCTTCTTGATAGACCTTAAGGGAACAGATTGTTCTTTCCTCTTTGAGCATTTGCCAGTCATAGTGCTACAGTAAAAGTATTTGATGTTGTTATTATCATTATTAACTTCCTTTAGAAGGCTTTACATAGAAAACTCAACATAAGTGCTGTTTTATTCTTTATTCTTACTACCTTTTTTTCAGGTAGCAGGATATGCCTGTCTTATCTTATGTAATTCAGCAGGTCATTCCTGGAGAATAGAAATGGTTGTTTAATGTTTTTGGTGAGCTAGACATATCTGATGAAGAGTGTGCTAATCCGAAACTCAGTAATTATTTGATTGTGAGTAAACAAAAAGTTGTTGACATTTCAGAATTTTAGAATTCTAACTAATCCTTGTTCCAGGGCTTCCCAAATTTTACTGCAGAAGGACAGTATTTCCTTCCCTGTTGGCACTGCAGAAGACCAGGCGTGATTCCTTAGAGAGAATCTGCCTAACATCAGAAGTTGTACTTAGGATCCTGTATCCTAGAAAATAACTTCAACACAAAACACATTCCTATTTGCTTGTGTAGCAGACATCATGTTTCCCTAAATACTATCCCAAGAAACTTAATTGCATCTTCTGGAAATGTATTAGCTACCTGTTGTGTGCTGAGCTGTTGATCAGTGGGATGCAGCATAATGTATTCAAATATTTCGTCAACAAACATGAAGTTGTTGATCATCTAACTGTGGCAGTATCTGTGACAGAATCTGCTATTTCTGCTTTAAATCAATATTTTGTATTTCTTCTTTTTGTTTTCAGATTAATCTTGGAAGCAACCAGTATCTTTTCTCAGTTGTTGTGGATCCAAGAGAGATGCCGTGCTTCTGCCTGAGGCATGATGTCGATGCTCTTCTCTGGCAGCCTCACTCTGACCAACCAGAGAACATGTGGGAACACATTGCAACTTTTAACGCTTTAGGTAGGAAATTAACTTCTGTGTCACACTCCTCTGTCTGAGACTTTTCTGCCTGATACTATTAGTATGGCTTCTGTTGATATTTCAGTTAATTCAATTTGAGTTGAAAGGTACTGTAGTTTTGTTGATAGCAGCATGCTAGCTTAATTTTAGAAATATTAGAGCATAAGAAAGAAAATATGCCTTGGGAGGAAAATAATCCTTTTCAGACCATATATAGGATGGAAGCATGGTACTGCACAGTAAAATCGAGAGTTTCTTGGATAACTGAGCTCCAGTTAAAGACTTAAAGCACAATCAGCACCTTAACACTCACACAGAAATCATCAGGGGAACGAACAGCTGCAGTTCGTTGATGACATGTCTAAGTGTATATATGCTTACTGTAGGATGTTTAAATAAGTGACCTTTCTTTTTCCCATCTCATTGTCCTGGGTGACAAGTCTGAAGAATTGGAAATGATTGTTCACTGTTTCTTCTGTTCTCAGAGCTTAGAAGCATCAAATGATGCTGGTACAGAGTGGGTTCAAAAGAAGCTAAAAGCAGTACTTCACCTATTCACGTTTGAGCTGTGGAACCCTCTGCCACAAAACTTTGTGGACATGGAAAGTTTTCATTAATTTGAAGAAGAGGAAAGATAGAAGAGGGTTATTCTGCTTCGGCTGCTAATATTAGGCCAGGATGTGTATCAGTGCTTTATGATTCTGCTGAAAAAATTGAAGGCTTTTTGAGGTTGGGAGAGGCTAGGTGTGGGAACAGTATCTAGCTATACATACATATGCATCAAAAACACCAGTTAGGGAGATGTACAGAAGAATTTTATTTTGATATTAACACCAAAACCTACTGGCTTATTTAATAACAACATATATCTCTTTCTTTTTTTGTTACTAATTGCATATTATTTTTCAAGCTAAGCTTGATTCTGTCTTAGCCAGTTAAAGTGCTGTTGGAACCAATATGTTACTTATCCCTTCTGCTTCTTTTTGGGCTCTGAAGGTTATGTCCAAGCATCAAAGCAAGACAAGAAGTTCATGGCTTGTGCTCCAGATTACTCCTACGCTGCTCTTTGTGAGTGCTTGCGACGCGTTTTCATCTACCGTCAGCCAACTCCTCTGCCCACCGTTCTCTACAACAGGAAGGAAGGAAGACAAGTGGGACAGGTTGCTAAGCAGCTGGTAGCAACCCTGGAAGCCAGTGATCCTATCTTAGGCTTTCAAGCTACAAATGAGAGATTATTTGTTCTCACAACAAAAACCTTGTTTGTAATAAAGGTGAACCCTGGAAATTAACTATTCAGTATATTCTGCTGTAGTTTGTGTTAATAATTTGTTAAAGAACTGGCTAGATAAATGATCTGAGAAGTTCCGTACAGTCTGATGAAGTCTAAAAAGGAGATATTTTACAGGGAATCAGTTTTTTTTCATCAGAATTTGTAAGATAGTGAGAATGTTTTTCAACTTTGCTGTCACTGAAGTAAGACTTTTGAGAGCTATGGGAAGATGTCTTCTGCACTAACAGGTTTCTCAAAGCGATTGTTAAAGGCTGCTATTGCATAGGTGAATAGATGTATGCATTGTTTTTTCAAAATGACTGCCATACTTCTGGGTTTGGAAAATTCACTTCTAAATGCCACTGTTTACCTGTGAAAGGAAGTCAGAGGAAGAAAATAAAGCCTTGAGTTGCAGGCATATGATGTGCAAAGTAAAGAAGTGTGTATCATAAAGAAAAAAAATCCCAAATCCCAAATACTATTGGCCAAAAAATGTTTTAATATTTCAATATTCAGTAGTATTGAGTGAAATGTGAATAGAATGGAGCATTGTGTTTTTTATACAGGTAATTAATTCAAGTGAAATCATTTCATTGTATATGCAGGTTTTAGATTATGAATTTGGGACTTATGCTTGCAGTGAAATCTGTTCACGTGTTAAGATACACTAGGATAGCTTTTAGCAGCTTTTTCTTGAAGCAAAGTGAGGGTGGATCTATAGCTGGTGATGACATATTGAATGGTATTGGTCAGGGTCTAGTTACACTCTCAGTTGTGTCATTGTCACTTGGCTTGTGCTTCATCTCAAGTGACTAATTTACAATTAGAAAATGGCTCGCAGACAAAGCACTGGTTTTGTAACCTGGGATGGGCACCCCTGCTGCAGATACCCGGATACCGCTGTAAAGGCGGTGTTACTCATTAACCCTTCTGTTCCTGATGCACAGGTCCAGATGTGGCACGTGCAGTGCCAGCATACACCGGCCATGAGGGTGCTTCTCTGTAACAAACTGGCAGGGTCAATTTTGTTGAAAAGTTTTATCTGAGGATTTTTGTTTCTTACTTTAAATTGACTTTGTCAATGCAATTAAACCAAAGAAGGGTCAGCTGCACCCCGCGCTGCTCGTTTTCATTGTCTGCATACAATTCCATAGCAAAGCGTGCCTCAGCAGCGCGCTGTGTGCTGGCAGGACGCTGCTGTGGCACCAAGTACTGGGACAGACACAAATACAAGTGGCTAATAGTCTGCATCTCTTCCAGTATTATTTCAGACATCTGCAAGAATCTGTTGAAAGGAAAGTAAGTGTTCCTTTATTATGGACTAGCAGTTTCTTAGTTGTGATTGTTCTGACTCTCCTGTAAATTCTCCTGAATAGCACAGGTGACATTATTAAATAATACAGTGAGAATTTAAGAGGGAGACAAGCAGTTGTGGCTTGCAAAAAACCCTTCAAATTCAGTAGCTTTTCAAGGAACCTGATTTTCCTCCTCCTTACAGAAGAGTTACATTGTGTATCCAACATTGAAAAGTTTTTCCTTACTCTTACCCCAGGTAAGTTAAAACAGACTTGATTTACAAACATTCCCTTCTCATTCTGTTTTTTTTAAACTGTCTTTAAAATGCTTTTTTAAATGCCTCAATGAATGTATTACTGTTTCATGGCTATTTTGCATCTAAATTTTCATTGTTGGGCAGTAGTTTCAAAGAAGGTGGTAGAATTCATGGAGATGTCCTTCAGAAAAGATTTTATGTAGTTGATTACTGTGCAGCATAAACTAAGTGCTTTGAGATTTATATGAATATTAATTAGTAATCTGAGATTTAATCATTGGGAACACAGGGTTAAGAGCAGGTTGTGATGTTTGGGGAATGGAGGAGTGAAGAGGGAGTGAAGGATTCGTGGGCAACATGCTTCTGTTCTTGGGTCTGTTGCAGGAAGCTCCCAGATAAATGAGAATTTCAGCTGTTCTTTGTCAAATGCTCTTTGCTGTGGGTTAGAAACAGCCTTCTGCTGTCCCCTGCAGCAGAGGGAAAAAAAGTCAAGGAAAATGGGCACCTCTTCAGAGGCTATATTACAATATGTAATGAGTAAAACCCACATTCTGCCACATCTGTGTCTGTGTCAGGGGAGTTCTTGTTTGCTCCTGGAACAATTGAACATGGAGAAGAGGTTCACCCCTTTTTCCGTGTTACTCCTCTGTTTGCGGTCACGCTGTTCTCAGGAAGGCTCTGTCAGATAGTCTCTCTTTTATTTTGCTTTCTATGAGAGTTAAAAGACATATTATTTAAGAGATTTGTTGCCGTGGGGAACCTTGCATGCTGTTGCACAGCAAGCTGCCGTAATTAAACGGCTGCGAGCCACAGGGCTCTTGCTCTCAGCATTTCCCTTTCTGTGCTCATTTCATTTTAAGGCTTATTTGTTTAGCGTGTTAACGTAGCCTTATACAAAGAACAGAATGTGGCTATTTACGAGATGGCTTTCTGAGAACCATACTTCAATTTTCCTAAAATTTTTTCTCTTGAAATTAGACATTTTAAGACAGTACTTCCTGAGAGGTCTCGATCACAATCTGTTTACAGAATGTCTGAGAAAATATTTGGCTATTACAGACCTGCAGTATTTATTTCTAATATTCTCTTTCAGTGCTTTCCTTGGCTGGATATTTGGAATGTATCGTGCATTATCCTACAAGTTTAAATAAATGGGAAAAAATGCTAAAATTATTAATAAAGGGAGTTTTTTATTATTTTAGAGGATTTCTGTTCATTTCAAATGTGCATCCTTCCTATTCTACTGAAACAAAATAGAAAAATAGAAGCAATAAATTCCTTAAAATAAGGCTTGTTATGTTAAGGAAGTTTCTGTTAGGGCAAAGTGCTGATGGGTGTCTGCACTGCAAGGTGAAGTCTGCTGCCAAGATGTGCAGTGTTGCACTCGTGCATTTTGGTGAAAGCCCCTGAACAGCTCTTTTCATATCCTGTATCTGCCAACATACACATTTCCAGAGGTGTTACTGGAGGGGATTGATATGTGTTCAGGTGTGTTCTTGTGTCCAAGCGCACACATTGCATCCTCTCTTTGTCCTGCACAAGACCCACACGATCTCAGCAATCCCTTCTAGATGGAAGAAGAAGAAACCCGCACATCCTTCCTCTCCCCGTACTCCAACCCAGGGGTGCTTTTTTGCAGGACAGTGAAGGAAAAGAGGAAGGATTTGGTCTGTACGTGTGTCCTGTGTCAAAATGTACTTTGTGGGAGTGACAGATAAGATTGAAGCTTATATTTTATTTCCATTTGCTGGGCTTTGTTTCAGTAATGCACATTATTGCCACTATAAGTTTTGAATTTCCTTGCCTTCTGTCAGTTTATACTTTCTATTCCTATTATGCAGATTAGATGAACTTGAAGCTTGCAGTCAATCACACATTAGCATGTAATAACCATTTTTATTGCTGTCTGATTCTGCCACATAAAATACTTTCTTTGTTTTTTTTGAGTTAAACTGTTAATACCCCAGGCTTTCACACCACCACTTTGCTAATGAATCAAGTTGTTATAATCATAGTGGCAATCGGCAACTTATGATTCTTATTTCAATATTTTATTTATTCCGTTGGAGAATAAAATGTGCATGGTCACCTCTCTGATAATTGAATTCTAGATTTTTCATGTGTTATTCCGTCTTCTTGCTGGGTAGGATATACATAGCTGAGTTGAAGGAAGAACTTACTGCCCTTGTCCCAGAAGGAATATGGTCTCGTATACCTGAGTACGAGTTGCTTCAGAGACTGACAGCTGCGCTTTGACGTGTAGGATTGCTTTTACAGACTGCTTCTGCAGGCTGGTTTGGAATTTTGTGCAGCCAGGCCTACGTGCCATTCACAACAGCTTTCTGTAAATCTGGTGAGATTTGTTTCCCCTCCTCCCATGCGAGGGATCTGGATTTGTGCTATGGGTAAGTATCGGCAAGATGGAAAGGTAATTTAGGTGCAGTCTTTGAGGTAGAAAAAACAAATATCCACCAAGTCTTTTCATCAAGACTGTTGCAATACTTAAAAAATCAAGGTTTATTTAGCATTATTTTGCTTGGAAAAGGAGCTGCTGAAGTAATTGTTTTCTTTAAAAAAGGTTTAAGCTACTTACGAAAAATTATTTTCTTTTACCAAAGGTGCTTACGGTGATGGGGTAGCTGGGTATCAACTAAAATCTGATGGTAGATACAGTTAACAAGTTCAGATGTAGACCTGGAAAATACTTCTCATGATCTTGGCTGATCTAATGGTCTAAGCAACGGGTCCTTTATAAACCCCTCCAGTGTGGTTTGCAATCTAATTAAATTGACACTTGCAAGGAATTGTCAAGGACAGTGAAAGAAACTCAAAAGTACAATTTGAGAGCATGACTTTTATTATGCTGTAATGAATACGCAGGATCTGCTAGCTTTTGTTAGTGCGTTGCTTGCGTTCTCAGGGTACAAGAACTGTGTGTTTGTACATTTGTATTTTCAGCTGCTTCTGTACATGCGCACACACGTATATATCCATACTGCCTCAAAGCATTGGGGAGGATGGGGTAGGTTCCGGAGAGGAGAATCCTCTGACTTTACTGACAGCAGAGCATGGATTCCTCATTAACCTGAACCTTTTCCAGGAATGTGCTGGCTGTTGGTGAGGCTGTCTGTGGGAAGCCAGCAGACTGACCTGAAGCAGAAATATTTCACTGTATGCTGAAACATGGACTCACCCTTGGGAATAAGTTCTTGAGTGTGAAGAAATCTTGATTATTAATTCAAAGGGCCCTTGGAGTGTGTAGTATATTTTTGGTTTTCCTTTTCTACTGGTTTTGTGACCAATTTTCCTGTGCATGGTATCCCACATCGAAACGCAAACCCCTGTAAGTCCAGCATAAACGTGCGGTAATGTCGCGATAACTGCTTTATGTGAAAGCATCCCTTGTGAATCCTGTGGAGCTTTTCCTCTGCTGAGGATTAAATGTATGATATTTCCGTATTGTGTTATACCCAAATTTTAACAGCTCAGAGGCCAAGTATTGAGCCTCAAATGATGCAGGAGTGATGAACATTTATTTTTATCAAAACAAGTGAGGTTTAGTGGGAAAAGAAATACGATCCACTGAATG